ATGTGTTCTCAAAATTATTCAATAAGATTAAATGATAATTTTGACTAATAATTAATGTGAAATTCCATTATACAACAGTATTAATATAGTAATTCTTAATATCATTATCATTATCATTATTATTTTCATCTTTATCATTATTATTATTTTATTTGTTATCCAGTTCTTTTTTAATTTATCTTTTTTTTCAGCTTATTATTTATTTTTGCTTTCAGATAATTTATAATAAAATTAACTAAAAAAATAGTTAAAAATAATATTTATAAAAATATCTTCAATATAGATTATTGTTAATTTTTAGCAGATTTCAATAATAATATTATTATTGATAGTTAATTATTTTTTAAAAGTGATATTGATATTAATAAATAGTTATTTTTTAAATATATTGATAATGAATAATTACTGTGGATGATGACAATTAAAAACTAACTATTTTTGATAATAATATAATAAATTAAATAATAAAAGTTCTGAAAATTATTGTTATTAATTCTTTTATTATTTTTTCTTTTTTATATATAACTATAAATTATAATGAAGTCTCAACTTCTAGTAAAATAAGCAAATATTTATTTAATTTCTGATTTGTTATTTATTTTAGATAATTTAATTATTTTATATAATATTAGATCATATTAAATAATTATTGATTATAAAGATTTTATTAGTATTAAATTTTTAATATCAATATAGTAATAATAATATTGCTTTTGAATTTTTTTTGGTGATGATAATAATTTTTTTCTTTTATCTCTTTTACTTATTTTTTTTGTTTATTATACTAATTATTACAAATAATTTTTAGTATCTTATTTAATAAAAGTTACTTTTTGAATTTGAAAAATCAAATAATTTATCATAAATTCATATTTAATAAATTAAATTTATTCATATTACTAATAGTATATTATGATACTTTTTGATAATAATTATTTATTAATTTAATATATACACTCCTACACTATATTTCTGGAAATTAAAAAAAACATAGTAAAATTGATATTATTGCTTTATATTAAAATTTGTTATTTTATTAATAAATATTTTTTATTTTATTAATAAATATTTTTTATTTTATTAATAAATATTTTTTATTTTTATATTAAAATAAAGATAATAATCTATATTTTAATAGATATTCTTTTAGAATATTCTAGAATTTTTTTAGAATTTTCTGTTCACTTGTAAATATAGAAAAAAATTGTTTATAATTAAAATTGTAATTTTTTTAAATTTTAATTATAAAAATTTTTTTTTATATTTATAAGTAAACAGAAAATTCTAAAAAATTTAGAATATTTTAGAAGAATATATATTAAAATATAGATTATTCTCTTTATTTTAGTATAAAAATAAAAAATATTTATTAATAAAATAATAAATAGCAATAATATCAATTTTACTATATTTTTTTTTAATTTTCAATAACATAGTATAGGAGTATATATTAAATTATATATTAAAAATTTTATATAATTATTTTTTTTCAAAAAATAAAATTTTATGCTGATTGATTTTTGTGCTTAATATTTATTAATAATTTTATAATTAAAATACTTCTTGTATTATACTATTACAATAGTAATATAAAAATTGCAAATTTAAAAATATTTATATAATAATAAAATTCTCTAGTATTATTTCACTTTTGATTATTTCACTTTTTATTTTTCATTTTTATATATTATTTTACTTTTTATTATTTTACTTTTTATTTTTTTTTACTTTTTAGTTATTTTACTTTTTATTTTTCAGATTTAAATATATTATTTCACTTTTATTATTTTACTTTTTATTTTTCACTTTTATTATTTTAATTTTTTGATATTTTACTTTTTACTTTTATAATTAGTTATTTTACTTTTTGTAATTTCAAAAAATATATAAATAGAGATACTATCTGAGCTTTAACTTGACATATTATAACTAAAAATAAAATCTCTTTTAACAAAAATCTTCTTCTAAATACTTTCTGTCTCTCATATTTTCTTTATATACTTCAAATCTTGTATATAAGTGATTTTATATCATATTGAACCTATTAAATTGCTAATAATTTTATATCATATTGCATCAAATAAATCATTATTATTGATTTTGAACTTTATATCATATTGTGCTAAACAAATTGCTGTTATTGAATTATTAAGCTTTATATCATATTGTGCTGAACAAATTACTATATTGAAAATTATTAAAATTAAATTATAAGTATTTTACTTTTTGTTATTTGAATTTTTAATTGTTAATGAATATTTCTCACTTGTGAGAAAAACAAAGTGAAAAAGTCTTTGTTATTGTTATTACTAATTATATACCTTTAGTTCTATAAAGCTTTATACAAATACAGAATCACAAGTACAGAAATATCTTTTTTTTTTCTTTATTTTCTCTTCTCTTTGATCTTTACTCTCCCACAACTCTCTTATATTTTTATTCCTTTTCAAGTGAACACAATTTCTGTAGAAATTGGCATAGGTCTTAAATACCCCTTTTCTCTCTTAATATTTTCTTTATCAATTTATACTCTCTTCCAATTCAGGTTCTTGTTTGTAAGCTAATTTCATGATTAGTAAATAAACTTATAATAGTACTACTTGAAATAATATTTTTTAAAAAAAATTTTTTTAATTATATTATTAATTAATATCAAATAAAATCAAGGTTAATAATATTAGAATATTTAATAGATTTTTATATATAAAAAATAAAATATTTAGTTTTATAATTTTTTACACATTTTTCAAATTGTAATACAAAGATCTAAATTCAATTCATTAATATAAGTATTATTAATGAGTCTAAATTACATATTGATTAATTAATATAAATTAATACATGAATAAACAATATTTCTTTTGTAACATCTAATCATTCAATTAGTAATCAAGAGGATGAAATCTAGATATTTACTAATCTAATCCCTTGTATTATTTGCATTAATAATCAATATTAATAATTGATATTTATAATTATTATAGATTATTAATAATTGCTAAAATTAATAATGTAATTTCTTATATATACATGCAGTTATGCTTTTTAGTAACAGTACAATAAAGAAGTATTTAAATAATATTGAATAATTTATAAACTGTTCCTATATTTGTTATAAAAAAACCCATGAACTATTAGAAGTAATCAGATAATGATCAGGTGTAATTGATGGATGGGATTATTAAATCGATTGCGTAACACAGATGTTTGATCAACGTACATGTATACTAAGAAAGAAATTCGAAGGTCATGGAACTTCTGCATGCATGATGTAATGTACGAATCTGAATATTAAAAATCTTTCTAAAACGCTCCAGCAATATATTTCATGGACCGAATTGCGTTAATCGTCAACTTTAAGAGTTCATCTTTTGATATTGTTTGGTCTTCTTCTGTGCCTTTATAAATTACCGACCCTGCTGTAATATGCTTTACTGGTTCATCTTTCATAAAGTCCGAAATTCTGTTGAATACGGTAGTCGACATACTTTCAGTTAAAGCTAAGCACGACGAAAAACTTTTCACAAAGAAAATGCATATGCCACGAGTTAGTTAATCGGATTTGGATTTATAGTATATGATGACGACGCAGATATCACTCGACAAAGTCAAAATAAATGCCTGAGCCTACAAGTACAAGTTACGGCATCGAACGTAGTGAAGGGTGTTTCGGCTCTGTGGAGTAGTATTTAGATAAGTTATCTCCTTGTGGCGGCCGAACAAGGATGGCAACTTTACGATATTTCTGATAGCGCGCGCAAATGGGAGATAGGTAATATATATTACCTATGAAACTATCTGTAGTCTACGTGATATCAAGGAGTTGAAGACGGTATGACGGATTACTTTTCGTAATAATAATATCTATGAATATAAACTAATATATATGTATACACATTTGTAAAGAGTGAACAAGTTCCCCTTGATGATGATATGATAAAAGAAAAATACAAGATATTTACAAGGGAGGCTTTCGAGCGATTCATCTTCCCTTTCTGTAGAACTCCATCAAAACGTGAAAAACATTCCCATTACAAACCTAACCTGGAAAGATCCTCTAGCCAGTCGAGTCATAAGTGATGATTCAATCATAGTTGAAAAGTTGTCACCTAAACAGCATAAAAACTTCATGGTAAGAGTTAGTTTGTTTTTCTTTGCTGTAATTAACATTTTAATTAAATTGATCCTTCAACAGAAACCAGCACGTAATATGGCCGTCACGCTCCCAGACTCGATCAAAGATAAATGCCACGAGTTCGTATCGGGGTTTTCAGAAGAATATATTGAAGATTTATCTATAAAACATACGCATAATGGGAAATGGAAAGAGTCGGATGAAACCCTTATGGGGTTACACAGGACATTCTTGATGTATTGTAAGTAATTTTCAAAACGGTGAAGTTATAGGATCCTTAAATTGATAATTTTATACTATTTGATTATCAGAGCTGATGTTTGGATGAATCCAGCATTCGGACCCGAACTTATGAAAACGCAAAGTGAGGGAACGTGCGTAACAGATATAATAATTCCTTCGATTCGAGCATCGTTGAAAGGGCTACCATATAGGCAATTTGCATTTATCAGCACGTAAGTCGTTTTATTATAAGTGGTAGTATATTCATCACTACCAAAGTCACGTTTTTAAAAATTTACTATAGTGCGGAGCGACAAAGCGTTGCCAGCGCAGATAGGAAAGGGGATGGATATTTTGGAAAACGACCAGATTTCAAGTATTTACTAAAACGGGAAGGTAAGCTAGTTGAGCTTGTATTTGGCGAATGCTCACGTTTATTATGCAGCGATACCAAGAAAAAGGAAGACGAAATAAAATTGTGGAGGGAAACAAACGATGGTATGTTTTGGGTACGACAAGGGTGTAAATCGGAGAAAGATCAATTTGGTATTGTGGGAATTCAAGTAGCAGGTAAAGTTTTGGTATGATAAAATTATTTCAGAACTCTAGTCTATTGTTTACTGATTTAATAACAAGGATCCAGTTGAATGTACTCATCAGGGACAACCTTGATATACATCGATATTATCATCTTAAAAAACACAAATTCCCATACACTGGTCTGAACAAGCCCTATCAACTTTACCTGAATTTGTTGAGTTATTGTTGAATTTACGGGTATTTATTTTAGTACACCAAATTTCATTATGCATACAACAAAACTAATTTTATTTTATATAAAATATCCTGATCGTCAATTTATCTTTGTTAATGCAAGTACCCACAAGTAAGACACATCGCGTCGAAAAAAGTACCACAGTATCATCTCCTAGAGAAGAAGTACTCGACGAACAAAATAAAAAGAGATCGAGAAGATCCAAGAAAACATTAGGATCTATTAAGCATAAAAAAGCGCGTATTTTTAGATGATTATTCTGAATTTCTATTTGCAATAATAAAATTTGCCCTTGTTTGTACATGTAGTATCTAACTGATGTAGTACAATACCAGAAATAGCCATGGCAAAAAAGATTGGTTCACGTGACTTTCTGCGAACCAATCTTTCCGATCTGTCTTCATGATTGAGTGATACTAAAAGTGATTATCAAGTCTCCGTTCCACCAAATAAGATGTGTATGTGTACTAATAGTTCAAAACAATTATGAACCTGAGCTGCCATTTGTTAAACTTATATTTTTTAATCTTGCTATTTTGGTCATTATTCTTCCTGAAGATCTGATAACATTAGTCAGACTTTGTTTGTAGTCATGATGTGAAGATGAGAATCTCTCAGTAATCAGACAATTCATAATCATTTTGTCCGAAACTGTGAGTGTTCGGGTTTACCATAAGATTGAATGTGTTCTAATTAAATTTCACTTTTGTTTTTTCTCTTGTTAAATTTTGATTTGTCATTTTTATAACTATTATGAATAACTTCTGTTTCTTATTAAAATTTTGAAATTTGTGTATTTTGTATGCTTTATTCTTATTTTTTCATAGTTTGAAAATATTTTTATTGATTTTTTAAAAGTCATTTTATATGTAAAGTTTGTAAGGTCAGGTAAACAAAGTAAAATAATCAAGCAATAAAGTACTAATACAAGTTTAGCTAACTTTTTGAGTTTGAATTAAGTCTATAAGTAAAAAATCATAATAATTTTATTAATTATTTAACAATTTTTCAAGATTTTTCTTTAGATAATTTGCTTTCAAATATTTAAACAAATGAGAATTTGGAGTTAGAATTTTTTTTGTTTGGAATTGAATAAAAATTGACTTGATAGTAATTAGTTAATTTTGTTAATTAGAATAATTAAATGACTAAAATTAGTAAGTAATTTATTTAACAATTTATTTAGCTTGAATTATACTTATATTATTTAATAAATAATAAGTATAATATTCTTATATATTTGAACTTTGACTTAACTTAAAGAAATAAAATTTAATAATAATAAACTTACTTATTTATGTTAATTAGCAATAATTTATTATATATAAAATAGAAATTAATATATAATACTTATTTTCAATATTGTTATTAATTATCTTTAATAATATTTCTAAAAAATAGTGAGTGACTATATTTATATAAAAAATTAAATTACTAAACTATCAAAACTTATAATTCAAATATCAAATAATAAATAACAGGATTAAATATAATTTTAACAAGAAATTAATAAAATTAAAATAAATAATTATCAAACTTTTCTAAAATAGTAGTAATAATAACTTATATAAATATAAATATAATAATTATTAAAGCTTTTTTAAAATATTAATTAATAATAATTAATAAAAATACAAATATGAATATAAAAAAATATAAATACTATCTTTTTTAAATAAGTAATACAAAAATCAAAATAATATAATATCTTCCTAATATTTTTCAAATTACAAAAATAATTATAATATAAATAAATAATAAATAATGCAAATAATAAATAAATACTACAAATAATAAATATAAATAATAAATAAAATACAAATAATAATTTCTTGTTAAAATAATATAATTAAAAGATTAAAATAATATAAATTATAATCAAATTTTATTTGATATTACTTAAGAATATTTAATTAATTAATAAATTTATAATTGAAAAAATAATAATTCTAAATTAAAATACATACTGCTTATATATTATTTTTATTTTAAAAAGAATTAATAAAAATTTAACGTATTCTCATATATTATAAGTAATATATTATTATAATTATATTATAAAAATCATTAATTCTATAATTTATAATAATTTATAAATTATATAAAGAACTTAGAACATTTCACAATTTTATTATATATTATTAATTATATTTATACATTCTTCTACTTTGTATTCTTATACTTTTTATATTTATACTTTTTATACTTTTTATATTTATATTTTTTATATTCTTATATTTATACTTTTTATATTTTTATATTTATACTTTTTATACTTTTATATATTTATACTTTTTATATTTATTTATTCTGAGTAGATATAACTTAATTAATTAAAACTCTTTGAAATTTATATTTATTTTTTTTTATTTTTTTACTTTTCATATTTAGTAATATAATTATCTTTTATATCTTTCTCTTGTTTTTAATATTATATTTGTATTTTGTGAAAAATATATAAATATAAGTTGTAGTTAAGCTCTAACTTAACATATCAGAATTTGAGAATAAATAACATAATAAAACTAATATCTTTTAATACTTAAATAATTTACCTTCCTCTCTCAATTATATACTTCAAATCTTGTGAACAAGTAACTTTAAAATTATATTGAGCTAATTAAAATATTGATATTAATTATTGAATTAATATTTTGTTATAGATTAATCTTTTGATATTTTTGTTATAATTAAATTATTTGGAATTTTTCAATTAAAGATATTGTAATCTCTTTCTTGTAAGAAGAACAAAGTGAAAGTATCTTTGTTAATTTTATTATTTTCGTTAGTTTAATTAGTTAGTTAATTCATTTGTTACTTTAATTAAATAATTTGTAAATTAATTAATTAGTATAGTTAATCAAAATATTATATCTAATTAAAACTCTATTACTTTATTCTTTTTCTCCTCTTTAAATTATAATAATTTTAGTAAAAATTAATATAAAACTTAGATATTATTTTTATATTATTCTTATATTTATTTAATTATCTCTTCCAATACTTGTTCATATTTATCCAATTAATAAAAAATATATAATACTATATTACTAAAAATTAAAAAATATAGTAAAATTAATATTGTTTCTTTATATTAAAATTTGTTATTTTATTAATAAATATTTTTTATTTTTATACTAAAATAAAGATGATAATTTATATTTTTGATATATAATTTTTTAGAATTTTCTAGAATTTTTTGTTTACTTATAAACATGAAAAAAAGATTTTCTATAATTAAAATTGCAATTTTTTTAATTGTAATTATAAAAAAATTCTAGAAGAATTTATATCAAAATTATAGATTATTATCTTTATTTTAGTATAAAAATAAAAAATAAAATAACAAATTTTAATATAAAGAAAAATATTAATTTTACTATTTTTTTAAAAAGATATATATTAATATTATATAATTAATTATTTTAATTAATTATATAATTTAAATATATGTATTGCTTAATTATTTATAATTACAAATTTGTTGAATTATTAATATATTATTATTATATAATTTATTATAAATTTATAGAATTTTATTTATATTTTTTATTTTTATCTATTATAATAAAAAAGTTTTAGTAAAAGTTATAAAGATATAAATTAAAAATTCAAAGTTTTGATTTATATTTAAACAAAAAAATAATTATAATAATAAAAATAATAATATAAAAATCTAAAAGTATATAATAAATTAAAAAATAATAACTTCAAGAATCAAATTATTGAAAGTTATTAAAAAATTAAATAAATATTTATTTTATTTTCTTAAATAAATGCTAAAATCTATTTGTTAATTTAGAATAATAAATTAATTTTATTATAAATTATATAATTAAATATAATATATTTATTTAAAAATTATCATTTATATTATTGTCTACTATATAAAAATATTAAATAAATACTTTGTTATTATATAAATATAATTTAATTATAATTAAAATTATAATCTTTTATTTTTTAGATTTTAACAAATTAAATACTAAACTATAAAATCAAATATTTATTATTTTATTTTGACAAAATGCAGTATTTTTCTTTAATATAATCTAATTTTATTATAATACTTTTTTATAAATTTGTAGTTTTTCTTGTAAAACACTTAATAATATTTTATTTTTCTTATTATTAAAATAAATTTATAATATCAGTTAGAATTGAAGTTAATTTTGAAATAAAAATTTGACTAGTACTAATTGTATTTATTATGTGCATAAAATCTAAAATCATCAAATGTTTATATTTTATAAAATGTATTAACTTCTTTACTAAGAAGTGGATGTAAAATTTAATCCGTAAATATGCTTAAAAAAGGCCAATTCTATTATATTCATGGATTAAATTTTATATTTACTTCTTAGTAAAAAAGTTAATACATTTTATAGAATATAAATATTTGATTTTATGCACCATATAGTTTGTAATTATACAAATTGCAATTAGTATAGAAAATCTGAGAATTTAGAATTAATATATCTAATATCAATATATGGTACACAATATCTAAGTTATCTAATATTTGTATTTATAAAATATATAAACTTCTTTACTAATAATTTAATTCGTTAATTTAATAAATAAGGCTCATTTGAGTATATTCATGAATTAAATTTTGTATTACTTATTAAAGTTTATATATTTTTATAAAATACAAACATTTGATGACTTTGATGTTTTGCATCATTTATATTAACTATCAGATAGATTTATAAGATAAAAGATAAATACTAATTTTTATGCACATGTTTTGGTTAACATGAAATCTTTTATCTTACTACAATTTGCATGATTACATCTTTTTGCAAACTGCAATCAGTGCAGTTTTTGTTCACTTACATTCGCATCTTCTCATCAAGTTCTCATTTTCTGCCTTTCTAATTTAAGAATTATTTTAATTTCTTTATCTTTTAAATAGGGTTGATAACGTTGCAAAGATCCCAAGCGATAGATATAGAATAACAAGATTTTTCAATAATTAATTTGCACAGTATTTAGTATCTTAGGTTGCACTCCTTTATAAATGTCAAAGTTGTCAAATACGATGATTTCGCTCACCAAATGGCTGTTCAATTGTCACAATCTCGTACATAATCATCCAAGATCTATAGATATATGCAGGAATACTCTGTAAATTTCTCGATTAAATTAGCTGTGTTAGAAGCCAAAAATGAAAATTTGGGTAGTCATATATAATAGTATTCTTCTTATGTGAAAGTCATGTCGGATAAGTCACTGTAGTAATATAAAATAAGCAACCTAACCTTCATTCCAATTCATTCTTTTTTCGTATTTGGAATAATAGCTCTGCATCTTTCATAATCCATTAGTATCGAGTATATGTAACTAGTCCATCTTAAATCTATTTCTAACTTTATTGTATTAGAAAATAAAAAATCTTCATGTTCATTACTCTTTAGAAAGTGCTCATATTTGCCCATTTATATACTCTTATGTAATTTTTTGAATCACGCAAAACATACTATCAATACAACTTTATTATCTTCCTGGTCTCGTTGCTTCCAGGTTGCTTTGTAAATTGTTCCAAAACCTTCTTTTGTGAGACCTTCGAAATTGGTAAATCTTTCAAAAGAATTCATTTGAAAAATATCTAATCCTTTTTTCATTAGACAGTCGGTA